TGGCTGCGTTACCAGCGTGGTTGGTCCTTGTAGTGTAGTGGTTAATACATCGGACTAGAATACCGAAGACGTGGGTTCGAATCCTGCCAAGGGCACTTGATATTTTTCTCTTATTCTCTCTACTCAATTATACATCAATGATTGTGGGGGTAACTTTTTTGTAACAATATATATTTGTCCTTTCCTGTAAAACTATATCTACAAAACAGTATGACTATAGTGAAACCTATGATGTCGCTAGCCAATCGCTATGAAGTAAAAAAAATTGATTTCAAGCCCTGTCAATTGCAATGCTATAGGTTGTCTAAATTGTAATATTAATTATTCAAATCAGACTTACTCTATAGAACTAAACCCAAGTGTGACATGTGAACTTACGTGTAAAATTGTTCATGGTTGTTCATATGGTATAAAACATAAGGTATATTCTAGTCAATGACACATGGGCTGAAATGGGAAAACATTAAATTAAGCCCATGCAAAATATTTTTATATATAGGAAACYGCATGATCTCAAGTACAATTCAGAAATTATAGGTACAAGTGATGTTTTGGAAGTTTTCAAAATTGAACGAGCCTTGAGGCGAGTTCAATTTGAGAACTTTCAAAACATCACGAGTATCTATAAATTCCAAATTCCAAAGATCATACATTTTTGTTTTGTTTATAATACACTCAACAAAATTGAGCAATTTAATTGGGACTCTACAGAGTACAATTTGGGATTGAATTGTACTCCTCTTGTCCAATCAGAATTGAGTAATTTTGTTAAGTTTATCATAAGCATAAAAATAGCTTTATCCTTTTTATTTATTTTTATTTATTTTTTATTAACTAACTTTGCACGGGCTGAGAAAAGACTCAAAGTCCAYGCGAGCTCAGCCTGAGACAAAATACATGTACATATAAGCTACATTTAGACAAAAATACATTGAAGTATAAAAAGAAAGTAAAGCTTAAGACAATAAATATATACTAGAGGCGTCAGCGACAGCAAACAGCAGTGATAATAATCCTCATACTTATTAAGCAGTAGTGGCAGATCCAAGAATTTTAGCAGGGGGTGACTATTATGAAGGTTTTGCCAGGAATACAAGGAAGGGGGTGGCTTACTGAGGATAATACTGAGAAATTTAAGCAAAAGCGGGGTGCCTACCCCTGATTAAGAAGCATAGTAATTTATACCTAAAAATATAAAATAATATAAAATATGCCAAAATCTGTGACTTCCAAATAATAATTGAACAAACTTTGTATATTTCCAACATTAGTTAAGTGGTATTGGATTGATTGTCATTGGTGCAGTTGTAAAGAGCAAATATGGCGATTTCATGCAAGTGTCTGACAGCAACTTGACATCTGCTCCAGTCTTCTTGATTGTGATTGGTGTTATTGTGGCCTTTGTTGGGTTCCTGGGCTGCTGTGGTGCCATCAAAGAGAACTACTGCATGGTCACAACAGTAAGTATCATTTTCATATAAAAATAAATCAAATTCAGCATGCAGGAAATTACAAAAGAACAAAAGAAGTAATGACTTGTTTCAAATACAAGTTGGTGTATTCTATTGGGGTTTCAAAATCTGATTGGAATTTCAAATGCCGAGGATTCAAATTCCAAGAGGATTTTGAAACCAAGTATTTGACACGACATCTTATACTATTTTTGTTATGTTAGTTTTTATTTCAAAGTTCTAGTACTTTGAAATATTTCAAAGTCCGAGTAGTAGGACTTTGAAATGGGTGCAGTTGTATTTGATGGGGGTTTCAAACTACTGTACGTGGTGCAAATAAGAAACCCTGGTTGCAGGTCGATGAGCTGATGAATAATTAATGAGTATAAGATATTTGACTCATTCTTAGCTAGACTACTTTAGTGCTTATGCACTTCCTAAGTCCTAGTGGAACTGTCATTTAAATCACATGTCATCATGACATGGTAAAACTCTAACCATTTATTTATCACTGATTTCATTACTGTTCACCTGTCTTGCATTCCTTACTTTGAACTTGGCTTTCAGACATCAAAGAAGCTGTTTTCAATATGTTTGAGATATGATTGATGGAAGCCTATTGCCAGCTTAGTAATTATAAAGTTGTCTGGTGAGGATGTATAGCAATGTAATCAGTGACATTTAGTAATGGTCTAGCTATGCATGTGCTACACAACGTGCCCCTAGCACTCAACCAACTAAGCTATATAATCAAGCTAGGTTAATTAGACAATTATTTAATAAGTTAAAGGTGTTAAATACTATTGAATTCCTTTTTTAGTTTGCAGTTCTACTTGGCATAATATTTGTCCTTGAGATTGCCGCTGGTGCCCTGGCTTATGCATTCAGATCAAAGGTAACACATCTATTTTATATGGCATTTTATTAAAGCTATTTCTTTAATAGATAATGGGAATCTTTAAACAGTTCCAATTGAACTTTAAAAGTTGATTTAGAAGAGGGAATTGAATCACCTAGAGACAACCCATCAGAGAAAAAAAACCAACATGAAACACCAGGAGAGAGAACCACCAAGCAGATCTACTTGTGAACATATGACAACAAAAGTAGACTGCAGAAATTGAACCTGGTTGGCAAAGACTCTCATTCGACTACACAGCATCCTAGCTGAGCTTTGCAAAGATACTTAACTTAGCTTAAAATATGACATTTCATTAATATTGTTTTTAACTTGCGTCTAATATTTATTATTTCTTTTATTGTGAAGCGCCATGAATTTTGATATGTGCGCTATATAAGTTCCATTATTATCATTATTATTATTATTAGCTAAATGATGTTTTGGATCCTAGCTAGTGCCAAATGTCAAAGTAAAAAGATTGCTTGTTTTCAATCATTCCCAATAGAATGAAATAACAAAAGACAAAGTGGCCATGTTGGATGATATATCAAAAGAGCCTAATGATGAATCATTTATTAAATTCATCCAACATTGGCAGCTGTAAAAACCATCAGTACAGAAAATATGCCATGGGCTTTTTAGACTGTGTTAGATAATTTTTTTTTTACTGTAGGTAAAAGGCTATGTAGAAACGGCTTTAAAGAATGGTGTTGACAACTACTATGAAAACAAAACAAAGGATAACCCATACAAGAAATTCATGGACAAAGTGCAGAAAGAAGTAAGTTCTTATTGTATTTCATTTTGGGTAAATAATAATATATTGTAAATAATAAGATGTATTTTAATAAATTACAGTAATAAAAATGTCCTGACAATTAATGCAAATCAAACTGCTGAATGGCAAACTCATGGATTTACACTCCTTTGAATCCTACTTGCACTCTTGAGATATTGGTTTCCTTGTGCTCCTCATACGTCCCACTGAGAAGAGTGTTGCATTAGTATGACAGGCTTCCAAGTACAATTTGGCTTTAATTTGCATGAGTGTGTTATTCAAAGAGTTGGAATTGTACAAGACTGTTGGTTGAGTGCAATTTCAGCTTTTTGAAAAACACGAGTGCAAATTATCCCAAATTGAACTCGAAATCGTGTTATTACTTATTAATAACATGAATAAATTACAAATGGTAGTGACAAATGTGAAATATTTGACACATTTTATGAAATTCGTTTTTTTCACAACCAACTAAATTCAAAGCGTTTTTGGTTTCAAATATACGTAATTCAAAGAGTGTTTTACCTATTTTAAACCAAAATGTGGCTACATATCTATTGTAAAAATCTGTTTACTGTTAAGTAAATCTGAATCACTATAAAAGAAGACATTTAGATTGGCTGACCTTAGCTTGCAGACTTTGAGCTAGTAGAGTCGTATTGAAAAAATTATACCTGACAGTTCAGTTGAACATGTTCAGGAAACGTTGCGGCTCAGTCTTGGGATCTYGTAGACCAAAATATTGTGTAAGTACTTACCACGTCTTGTTTAATAGTCGTTTCTGTTTTCGTTTTTGTTTTACTTCAGCATTGAATAGTTCGAGTATTTTGTTTACATCAGCTGGCTCATTTTCTCAATTCATGTCATATTTTCTTTTCTTTTCACCATTTCTTCCATATATTCAGCCTTAACAATGTACTTTTATTTGTTTTGTTTTTTTTTTTTTGAAATGTTTTTAAGTTCTTTGATATTAAAATCCGTAAAATCTTTGCTTACTTACCGAAATATAAAATGGCTGCCATTTTCCCCTCAATTTGCTTCAAATTTTCCTCAAATTTTTCGTCACAATTATCTGTCATCTTATTAGCTGAAATCGTTTCCTGTTGTTTATTATCTAATCAAATTAAAAGCGAGAATTCTGTTTGTAATTTGCATCGTATTACACTCCTCTGCACTGAAATACACTTTTTTGCACTTTATTACGTTAACACTGTTCTAAGCCACACTGCAGTGTACAACAGTGTACAACACTGCTCTAAGCCAATCAGAATTAAATACTTCAGCAAAAAAAGGTTTGACGCTTTGAAATTTTAGTTTAGGCATTAATTGTATTATTTTACTTCAACTTGCATCTTTCCAGTTCAATTCCTCATATCAAAAGCTAATGTAGTCTTTATTGTACAAGAACTTCGTACTTTAAGTGTCCCCGTAACATTCAACGTAAGATGATTGATAGACGTTTAATTATCAATCTTCTAACAATTTAGTGAGCAAGTGACACATTTGCATATTCAGACCCCTCACAAATAACTGGTTTCTATGCTTCGCATAATATTATATGCACAAGCTAAAAAGGACCAAATTCTCACCTTTCAAATAGTCTATAATTATAATGTTTTGCTTTGTGGGGTAACCAATCGAAATACTGTCCCAAAACAAAGTATTCTTCAATTGAATATACATTAAAACTGCTTTTATCTGTAAAATATACTGATTATTAGTTCAGTTAATTTGCATCTTTAGAACATTGAAATGAAAGTGTTGCAGAATGAACATTGAAATGTTTGTGTTGCAGAATGTATTGGCTTACAAAGAAATGTTTCAAAATGTTTCAAAATTCTTTTTCTCTTTCTTACGGTTTCATTTTATATTTGGCTATCCAACAAGGTATTTTCAACATTGTTTGATCAGGCATCAGCAAATATAAGTGCAGTTTTTTCCTCTGGTTACCCCCCAAAGCCATAAGGCATTATGGATGCAGAAAAGTAGGAATATTCATTCTCAAATTTTAAATATATCCCAAGACCCTTTCGACGTTGATGGATTAACAAAAAAAAATTATTTATTTCAGTTCCATTGTTGTGGATATAATGATAAACCAGAGCATGGTTACCCCAAAGATAAAGTTCCAGACTCTTGCCAGCAGAAAAACAAAAYTATTTCACAAGTGGAAGTAAGTGCATGTTAATTTCCTGTTTGACATTTTTTTCACACTGGTGGTCTCTGTATATAGACCCTTTGCAGCATTTGGGAATTCAGCTTAATTTTGGAGGAAATAGCAATAGGTTTAAAATTCACATAAGAATTGAAAGTATTTTTTTGTTGTCCTCCAAATTGAGCTTCTTTGACATCACATGCTGGAGGTCTACAAATGGTAGAATTTCAGTCCAGAAGGAATGGGATTTAAATTATGTAAGTCTTGCTAAATAAATACATGCAATGAATGCCAGTCTATTACACAGACTGAACAGTGTGGTTTTGACTATGATAAGCATGATCTGTATTCTCAAGGAATTGGATTTGTCTATAGCTACCATTTCAGGAATCAAATCTAACTCAAGTCAAATGAGCTATGATAAAAAGATGATACAATATACAACACATTTAGTTTTGCAATTGATTTGCATCTTTGATCTTTTAGGACTGTATCAATGGCCTAGAAGATAGTCTGAAGAGTCATCTTGTCGTGGTTGGGGGAGTTGGTATTGGGATTGCTTTTGTCCAGGTAAATATGCAAAAAAAAATTAATGTGTTACTCACTCACTAAGATGTTAGCAGATCGATCATTAAATGTTAATCAATCATCTTACCTGTTTACAAACATTACTCAAAACCTATTACTTTCAGACTTCGTACAAACATGATGTTCTTATCTGAAGTTACACGAAGTTCTTATCTATCATTACCTTTTCACGCTGTTTTATATTGTTTGTAATATATACAGTATGAGTGGCCGTGTTGTATCAGATGTACAACCACGAGGCGTAGACGAGTGATTATATATCTGATACAACACGGACACGAATACTGTATATGACTTATCAAACGTCTAGGTTCGTTCCTTCGTGTTTCACTAAAATTTTCAAAATTAAAGTGAATTTGGCCAAGAAAATCCAACTTAAAGTTTATGCAAATGAACACAGTTTTGTATCAGATTTACAACACTCTTCATGCTCGTGATTTCTGTTGTGTTTTCCTCATGCATTATTAATGAGTTTGATAAAGATATTTACATCAACTTTTTCTTTCCAGCTCATTGGAATCCTGTTTGCCTGTTGTTTGATGAGATCAATCAAGAAAGAATATGAAGTGATGTAATTCTGCTCATCATTCCTACCCTACTGTATTCAGTATTCACTGTGCACAATATAATGATGATAAGGATAATTTAGTAATTCAACGCTTGGTCAATTTAGGTAGATAATTTTGTTTTCGTAGCAATAGAACTCTATGTTTAGCACAATCATACTGGCAAATTTCCCATCTGAAGACAACTTTTTTTGCAATAGGGAAACTTGTATAAGGGTGTCATCTACTATAAGTAAATGCTACTTTGCCTCTGCAGCTAGCTGATCACCTTTTCATAACCCATTCTCCCCTTTGTTAACTCTCATCAGTCCCCTGAACTCCCCTGTGTAACAGGAAGATAAGCCTCCTTAGCCAACTAGTTACTATAATAGGCCACCACTGTAGAATGTTTTGAGATACACTATCTACCTTCATACATGCATGTATAATAATATGCTTAATCCTACTGGGAAATTAATTGGGCTTTGAACTATATAAGTTATTGGTTCATAGTTCGTATTTTTTTTCAATTCCTTCATTGCCTATGCAACACACAAGTACTCGTAATTGAAAGGTTAAGATAAGATGTTTTTTGGTTAAATACACCTCAAGGCTGTGTTTGTGCTTCTGGTATAAATTTGCTCTAGGATCCCTGTGACCACAGACAGCCCATAGACGTAAAAGTGAGAGACGACTTCCAAATAAGCAGTAGACTGCTTCCAAAATTATCTTGAGTGCAAGGCTAATAGAAAAATATCAAAGAAAACAAAATTTTCTTGATGGAATTCGTATTTTCCTGTTAGAATCAGATCCAAGTCAATTTTGTAAAGGGTCTATACTGCACGAGCTTTAGATCTTAGGGCAAGATTTTTACACAAAATGCAATTCCTGTGTAAGTTGTAGGCATGTTATTGTAATAAAGCTAACTTGTGTGTATTGTTTTCATAATTATCTTGTTTCGTTTTTGATATTTATTTTAAACAAACCATGGATTAGTCCAGGGGAGAGATAGACCCAACAAAGGGCAGCCCATAGACCCCCATGATGGTAGGTCTAACCAAAACATAATTAGTCAAGGGGGAGACCCAACAAAGGACAGCCCATAGACCACCATGATGGTAGGTCTAACCAAAACATGATTAGTCAAGGGGGTAGACCCAACAAAGGACAGACCATAGACCCCCATGATGGTAGGTCTAACCAAAACATGGATTAGTCAAGGGGGGAGACCCAACAAAGGACAGACCANAGACCCAACAAAGGACAGACCATAGACCCCCATGATGGTAGGTCTAACCAAAACATGGATTAGTCAAGGGGGGAGACCCAACAAAGGACAGACCATAGACCCCCATGATGGTAGGTCTAACCAAAACATGGATTAGTCAAGGGGGGAGACCCAACAAAGGACAGCCCATAGACCCCCATGATGGTAGGTCTAACCAAAACATGATTAGTCAAGGGGGAGACCCAACAAAG